GTATTTATTCCTCTCCCCACAAATTTTCAGATTTGGAGTTGTCTCCGTGACTGAAATGACCCAAATGCCTTTTGAGAGGTGAGAAGACACCTAGGCTCCCTTAAAAAGCAGGGCGTAGGAATTGGTCCCCGGCAAAACCTCTTCTATTTACACGACTGTGAATTCCTTTCATTCGCAGTCAACAAGGCCTGTCCAAACAGTCTTTCAGAGGAATATTTATCAACACAGACCTTATCTCGCTTGGCAAGCTGCCACGTAACTTGTTTCCAAATGCAGAGTAAGGCAAAACTTGGCACAGAGTCTCTTAGAGTCACGAACAGAACTTTCCATTCTTGAAACTACCGACCGACTGAATTGTTTCCTGCAAAAGCCCCCTCCCCGGTCACTCCTCTTTTGTTTCCTATGGGAGGGGTCAATTGTCTCCAAGGTGTGGCTTTACTTCCAAGTCGACCTTGCTTTCTGAATTGTTCTTGTCCTCTGGCAGCTCTGCACATGCACACACTGGGAACGGGCTCCAGCTGTTCCTCTGCCTCACTGCTGTCTCTCTCCCCCTCTGCCTCCGACCCAGAGCCCTCGTCCGAGCTTTCTCCAGCCCCCAGGACTGGCCCAGGTTCCTCCTCAACCTCCTCATTGTCTGACTCTACCACCGGCGGGCCACAACAACTCCTTGGCATGGTCTTCTAACTCAAAAGAGTGTGTTTGTGTGTGATATGTGTGAAGCCGCTCGCTTTAAAAAATATTTTTTAAAGAAGGACCTTGATTAGATCTTACAACTCGGCTCCCTCTTTTTTGATCCTTAATTCCTTTTCAGGGACGATCATGTTAGACTTGGGGTGACAATTTGAGGTCCCCTCTCCATCAGGAGGGGCTCCTGTACCACTCTGGGCCGTGTTGCTATATAGACTCACTTGTGGGGAGCTGGAGGCTGCTCCGATTAAGAGACCCACAGATTGGGCCACCAAGGCGGTGCAGGTGGCCAACGCTGAGAAGAGCAGGAAGCGGATGGCTTCGGGAGGCTGCCCAGTCATCCAGTAGACAATGCTACAGTAGGTGATGGGACAGAGGATCTGTAGAAGAAATGGGGGACCAATGAACAAGGATCTGGTTGAAGTAATTGGTTGAAATGGCTCTCAGTTAAGGGGAGGCCAGCGTCCTCCACCAATGGAAGCAACCAACCCTTGGCTCTACCACCACAGATACCGTATTTTTCGGAGTATAAGGCACACTTTTTCCCCCCTAAAAGAGGGTGAAAATTTGGGTGTGTCTTATACACCGAATGTAGCCCCCCCGCACCCTTTGGCCTCTGCCTCCCAGCAATTTGCCTCCTTGCAGCAAACAGACTGTTTCAGCTTCATCACAGCCTGATTAGCACAAGCAGCTGATTGTCGATTGGATCGGCCTCCTGACCATCAGCTGTTTCAGGCTGCAGGGATTGCCATTGCCTATTGCCACATCCGCACGTCCCATTTTTGGCCTCCGCATCCCGTTTTCAGCCTCCACACGGCCTGTTTTCAGCCTCCACACGCCCCATTTTTGGCCTCTGTGCACCCCATTTTCCACCCGTTCTGGGTGGCGGTGATCAGAATGGACAGAAAATGGGGCACGCTGAGGCCAAAAATGGGATGCAGAGGCTGAAAACGGGGCGCACGGAGGTGGCAATAGGCTATGCTATGGCAATCCCTGCAGCCTGAAACAGCTGATTGTCAGGAGGCCGATCCAACTGACAATCAGCTGCTTGTGATAATCAGGCTGTGCTGAAGCTGAAACGGGCTGTTTGCTGCAAGGAGGCAAATTGCTGGGAGGCAGAGGCAGATTTTTTTTTCTTGTTTTCCTCCCCAAAAAAGGTAGATGCATCGTATACCCCCAAAAATATGGTAGTCCTCGACGTATGACCATTTGTTTAATAGCCAAAGTTATAACAGCACTGAAAGAAAGGACTTTTGGCCAGCCTTCTCATGACCATCCCAGTGTCCTCCAGTCACATGATCAAAATTCAGATACTTGGCATGTATTGATGAAGTTGTATCACCCCGGGGGCTTGTGATGCTGCACCTGTTGAACCTCGGCTTTCTATCACGCTGTAAAAAGCAGTGGACCCCTCCCGATGGCAGAAGTAGGAGGTCAGGAGGACGAAGTGCTCACCTGAAAAGGAACATCTGCTACAGTTTTGGCCAGAAAGTAGGCCTTTAGACTGTACCAGTAGTTGAGATGTTCTCGCAGGAAGACAGACATCTCCAAAGGGACTACAAAGAGAGGGAGAGAGAGACAGAGAGAGAGAAGGAGGGTGGGAAGGAGAGGGAGAGAGAGGGGGGTGAGTTGAAAAGAACAGCATATCTGTCAAGGACCTAGGAGTACTCATCTCAAACAAGCTAAGCCCCAGAGCTGAATATTCTGATAATGTTGTGACCCCGACTCCCGAGCCTGTCCTAACAGAGGAAGAGGACTCAGAAGGTGATGGGGAGGAACTGACAAGGCCTCCCTCTCCAGGACCCTCCTCTCTGGCAATGCCTCAGGTTCCATCCGAAGGCTAGGAGGAACAGCCTGGGATGTGCCAGGAGGGAGGCATATCGGAGCACCAATTGATAGGGAGTGAGGATGATGAATCCTGGCTTGATCCCAGGCAGCGTTGGAGGGAGAAGCCTGCGCAGCAACGGAAGAGGCGTGGGAGGGCCAGAGATTGAGCTGAGTCACAGAGCCACGCTCCACCAGGAATAAAAGTGGGTGGGATTGCTCTTCAGGCTTTGTGACGGACAAAGTTAAACCCTGAAAGTCACATCGTGATCTCTGAAATTCGGCTTGGATATATTTTGGACTGAACATTGACTAAACTCTTGTCTCGTGGATAATTTGTTGCTCCTGGAACAGACTGAAGATAAATCCTCTTCTGCTTTATGGGAGTGAAAACGGTCTTGGCAGGCATTCGGTTGTTTGCTGCCAAAACCTTGGTCTGCCAGGAATTCTAATCTGTTTACCTAATATAATATTGGCAGGCGTGCTTGGTATTACGTTTGCCTGTGTGGGGAAGGGGGACAGAACAGGGACACCCTGAACAACTCACACGTCAGAATGGTGGGCATCAGAGCAGCAAACATGAGGAACAGCATGGAGAAGAAGAGGAAACCGGTGTTGTTGAAGACTTTGGTGGCATCGTTGCCGATGTGTAGGTAGAGCAGGCCAATCAACACTCCCGTGAAGATGTGGGACATGAACCTCAGATGGGTGAGGAGCTGCGCAGGACAAGAAGACCCATAAGAAAAGCCGGGGAAGGATTTTCCTGCAAAAGATACTTTCATCTCCTTTTTTTAAAAAAAATATTTTTATTGTACATTTTTCTTTATAATACATCATGTTTCCAGTTTTGCAACGACAGTTGTACTGGCTGTATCCAGTCCTTTTTTTTGTTTTTGCTTTAATTTATATGCCGCCCTTCTCCGAGACTCAGGCAGCTTACAGTGCGTTAAGCAATAGCCTTCATTCTTTTGTATATTTATACAAAGTCAGCTTATTGCCCCCACAAACTGGGTCCTCATTTTACCTACCTTAGAAAGGATGGAAGGCTGAGTCAACCTTGAGCCTGGGGAGATTCGAACTTGCAGTAATTGCAAGCAGCAGATGTTAATCTGTTAATAACAGTGCTTTAGTCCACTGTACTACAGGCTCTGTAGTATTATACATTATACACTCTGATTCAGGGGTGAAATGCTCCCGGTTCGGACCGGATCGCCCGATCCGGTAGCGATGGCAGCGGGTGGTTCGGAGAACTGGTAGCAAAAATCCCTGCTCCCCCAATAAAAGCATTTTTTCTACAACCTCTTCGGCCAAAAAAATGCTTTTAAAAGTAAAAACCAAAGCCTCTGATGATCGTGCGGCTCAGTTGGGATCGTCAGAGGCTTTTAAAAGCATGCCTCCCTTTCCTTCTTTCTTCTTTCTTTTCTCTTTCTTTCTTCTTTCTTTCTTCCTTCTTCCTCCCTTCTTTCTTTCCTTCCTTCCTTCCTTCCTCCCTCCTTCTCTCCTTCCTTCTACTACTTCCTTCCTTCTTTCCTCCCTCCCTTCCCTCCTTCTCTGACTGCCTTCCTTCCTTCCTTCCTTCTTTCCTCCCTCCCTTCCCTCCTTCCTTCTCTGCCTCCTTCTACTTCTTCCTTCCTCCCTCCCCCCTCCCTCCCTTCCCTCCTTCTTTCTCTGCCTTCCTTCCTTCCATCCATCCATCTTTCCTCCCTTCCTTCCCTCCTTCCTTCTCTGCATTCCTTCTACTCCTTCTTCCCTCCTTCCTTCTCTGCATTCCTTCTACTCCTTCCTTCCTCCCTCCCTCCCTCCCTCCCCTCCTTCCTTCTCTGACTGCCTTCCTTCCTTCCATCTTTCCTCCCTTCCTTCCCTCCTTCCTTCTCTGCATTCCTTCTACTCCTTCCTTCCTTCCTCCCTCCCTCCCTCCCCTCCTTCCTTCTCTGACTGCCTTCCTTCTACTCTTTCTTTCCTCCCTTCCTCTGCTTGTCCTTCCTTCCTTCCCTCCCTCTTATCTTCCTCCCTCCCTCCCCCTCCTATATTTAGTTTCTTCTTTCCTGACCCTTACCGTGTCTCTTAGGATGGAAATATAACTCCTCTGGAAAAGGATGCAAAATTGAGTCAGGGTACTAGTAGCAAATGTGTGACTCTCGATATGATCCAAATCCTGGGGCTGAGCAAAGGAGAAGAGAGAGAGGAGAGAGAGAGAGAGAGAGGAGAGAGAGAGAGAGAGAGAGAGAGAGAGAAAGAGAGAGAAAGAGAAAAAGAAAAAGAGAAAGAGAAAGAGAGAGAGAGAGAGAGAAGAGAAAAAAGAGAAAAGAGAGAGGGGGAAGAGAAAGAGAAAAAGAGAAAGAGAGAGAGAGAGAGAAAGAGAAGAGAGAAAAAGAAGAAGAGAAAGAGAGAAGAAAGAGAAAAAGAGAAAGAGAGAGAGAGAAAGAAGAAAGAGAAAAGAGAAAAAGAGAAGAGAGAGAAAGAGAAAAAAGAGAAAGAGAGAAAGAGAGAGAGAGAGAGAAAGAGAAAAAGAAAAGAGAAAGAGAGAGAGAGAGAGAAAGAGAGAAAGAGAAAAAGAGAAAGAGAGAGAGAGAAAGAAAGAGAGAAAGAGAGAGAGAGAGAAAGAGAGAGAGAGAGAGAAAGAGAGAGAAAGAGAGGGAAATTGGAGGTTAATAAAAACTCCAACAATTCTAGCTATCTCCAAAGGCGGCTTTGGGTCCCATGGTTTTTCCATGAACTGGAAAGGGCATGTTTTCACATGCTGCCTGCATCCCGTGGATGGGGCTTTGCTTCGTTGGCATGGCCTGGTTTCTGGCATGCCACAGACGGGTGCCATGGACCATGGACCCCTGGTTTATGCCACCTTTTCCAAACAATGCACAAGACGGTGCATTTCAACTGGTAAAAAATGAGAGGCCGAATGGAAGCAAAATCACCTTGGAACCAGCAAAACTGCCCTTGCCTAACCTAACATGGTCCTGACGTCTTGGGGGCTCCAGCTGTCAAAGAACCTCCCCCCACCCACTCACCCACCCACCCCCGTAGACCACTCACTGCCACGCAGGGTTCTGGCACCAAGGAATCCATCTTCTCTGGACTGCTCTTCTCCTCCTCCATGGTGCACAGCCCATTCTGGACGGCTTGGAAGAGAAGTGGGTTGAGATCGCCATACTCCCCCGAGGCCACCTCAATGACTGCAATGGGGAAGACAGAGGGAGGCAGCTAAGAGTCATGCCTCTGCCAAGAGACGCTCGTCTCTCCTCACCCTTCCCATGCTAAGAATCATTTTCATGAATCAGCGATAAGGTTTAGCGTTCCAGTTCAGGATCCTAGCGAACAGCACAACTGCAGAGGCCCGGGGATCATCAGACACGACGTAAGATGGGGATGGCCAGTTTTGAACCCTGAGCTTCTGAGCAGTTGCTTCGGTATTAGGCCTATATTCCCCATAGGGAGGTTTAATTCCCCATTGCAAGACATCATCGAATGGAAGGTCCTAAGAAAGGGATGCCAACGTTAGCCTTCTCTGGTGACTTTCCAGAAGTGGACTAATTCCCAGAATGCCTCTGCTGACCCAATCGTTGATTAGAAGTTTGAGAATCAAAGTTGACCCAGATAATCAGAATACGTTCCTCATCATGCAAGAGGAACTCTGATGGGTTGGATCAAAAGGGCTTCCTAGTCCGATATTGTATCGTGTTTTCTATCAAGGATCACTCAGGTGGTCCTAATAGGGAATCCATCAAGAAATTCCTGATTCTTAGATCCAGGGCTCTGCCCCACCCCCCTCAATTCTCATTTGGTTGACGACTTCAGATCAAGCCATCACTAAATGGCCAGATGTTCAGGAGATCCTCAAATAAGGTACTCAGCATATCCAGATAAGGTTGGTGAACATCTGCCTGAAACCCTTAGAGAGATCTATCCCTGTCTGGATCAGATGGAGCAAGGGCCTGATCTACTACTATGGCAATGGTGAAATCCCAAAATTTTTACTACCAGTTCTGTGGGCGTGGTGTGGCTTGGTGAGTGTGGCTTGGTGGGCATGGCAGGGGAAGGAAAACTGCAAAATCCCCATTCCCACCCCACTCCAGGGGAAGGATACTGCAAAATCTCCATTCCCACCCCACTCCAGGGGAAGGATACTGCAAAATCCCCATTCCCTCCCCACTCTGGGGCCCAGCCAGAGGTGGCATTTGCCGGTTCTCCAAACTACTCAAAATTTCCGCTACCGGTTCTCTGAACTGCTCAAAATTTCCGCAGCCGGTTCTCCAGAACCTGTCAGAACCTGCTGGATTTCACCCCTGTACTACGGGATCCTAAGAAAGGATCCATGCCATGCCTCGCTTAACTCTGGTCGATGCAAAAGCCATCTGTGGCCAACGTGACTTACTGAAATCAGCTGGGTTATGGTAGGTGGGGCAATGCAAGCCAAGCCCTTTTAGATACGGGATGAGGTTGGACACAGCTCCCTTGAAGATACACTGACCTTGGCTGAGGATGTAGAGCTGGACAGAAAGAAGAAGGGAGGAGAAAGTGCAAGTGCTGAGTGCAATAAGAGATGTGTCCCCCGAGATCCTCAAATCAAAGAGTTCTAAAATGGTGAACTCCTGTCCCACAGATTCTGAGCCCTACAGGCATCCTCCCGCCATTCGGCCACCATCGTGACATTCCGGTCACTGCTCGATTGAGAAAGTTGGCTCCTGGGAGTCTCGCGGAAGGCCTCACCTTGTCAAACTTTTCAAAGAGCTTAGCGCTGGGCTGGTGGATGGTGCAGATGATGGTGCGGCCCCCTTGGGCCAAGGATTTCAGGAGGGAGACCACTTGGTAGCAGGACGTGCTATCCAGTCCGCTGGAGAGGCAGAGAAAGAGGGGACAAAGCAGCTGTGGGCAATGGGCACAAGGACAGAGTTGGGGTGGGGGTGGAATTCTAGACCTGTGGCACAATTGCAACTTTTGTGTTTCCATTGTGCATTTCTATAACAGTCATTCTTCTTTTTCCTCTGTCTTGGGAAAATGGGATTTTAATTTAATAAGAGCCTTGGTAGTACAGTGGTCTAAGGCACCCTGTTATTAAGCTGGTTATTAAGACCAGCTGCCTGCAATTACTGCAGGTTCGAATCTCGCCAGGCTCAAGGTTGACTCAGCCTTCCATCCTTTCTAAGGTAGGTAAATTGAGGACCCAGTTTGTGGGAGCAATAAGCTGACTTTGTATAAATATACAAAAGAATGAAGGCTATTGCTTAGCGCATTGGAAGCCGCCCTGAGTCTCCGGAGAAGGGCGGCATATAAATCAAATTAATAATAATAATAATAATAATAATAATAATAATAATAGCTTTCGATTCTAGCACTGAACCCAAAGCATTCTTGATTTCTTCTACAAGTTCTTCTCTACTCGTTGGTCTGATCCTGCTTCAACATCCCACCAATGTCTTGGAACATTCTCACCAATGTTCTGCAAGATCAAACAAGGCTTAGGAATGAGAGGATGGGGTCACAGTCCTCTAGATGTAGGCAGGGACCAGAGGTGGGTAGTCTGTCACTTACCTGGTGGGCTCGTCAAAAAACATGACTGGAGGATTGTTGACCAACTCAAGGGCGATGGCAAGTCGCTTGCGTTGTCCTCCAGAGAGAGAGGAGGTTCGGGTGTGGGCACACTCCAGGAGTCCCAAGGCAGTCAAGATCTCGTTTACCTGATTGCAAGAAAAGAATTCCCATGAGAAATGGGCTATGACCCATTAGGCCAATGCTTCTCAGTAACTTTAAGAACTGTGGACTTCAACTCCCAGAATTCCTCAGCCAGCATGAGGAAATCCATCCATCTTAAGGACATCAGTTCAATGGATCTGTGGATTTCTGGAGCTGAAGTCCACCCATCTTAAAGTCACTGGTCCACTGGATTGGTGGACTTCTCAGAGCTGATGTCCACTCATCCTGAATATGCTAAATTTGAGAAACACAGTGTCATGAAGGACATCTCAACAGAGGTAGACCAATTCAGGTCAAACCTCAGTCCCCTGGGACATCTACTGAGTGACTCCAATTTCAGCCTCTCGCCTTTCCTTATTCCCTCTCTTAGACAGGAAGCCATGGGGGACCCCAGACTCTGCCAAGACCCCCTGACCAGATGCTACGTTTACCAGTTTGGGAACAGCCAAGCTTGTCAACGATGGTCTTAGCTTAGACTTGACTTAGCAAGGCTTCAGCTGCAAACAGCTTGTTGTGGTCCACCAGCAGCCTGCGGAGCTAGCAGTGGAGTTAGACAGTGAGGAGGCTGGGGAGGACAATGGGCCAGTCCTGGAGTCAGGGGAAGGCCCGGATGAGGGCTCTGCGTTGGAGGCAGAGATGGGGCCAGGGCCATCTGGGAGCGATGCACGGACTCCGGAGCCTCCAGAGTCAGACAGCAGAGAGGCAGAGGAACAGGAGGAGCATGTTCCTAGTGCACGTAAGAGAAGAGCTGCCAGAAGGCAAGAGCAGCTAAAGCAAAAGGGACAACTCAGGAGTAAGGCCAGGAGATGATTGGCCCCTCCCATAAGGCTTAAAAGAGCAGCAAAGGCTCTTGGGCTCTTTGTAGGAAAGCAACGTTGCTACATTTGTTTCTTGTCGGTGTCTCTTGTTTCTGAACTTCGTGGGGCTTTGCCAAGAAAAGCCTTTGGCAGGGTGCCAAAGAAGACAAAGGTTTGTGATAAGGCCAAAGGATTTTTTCTGAAGGACTTGTTTTGGAATTAATTGGGACTAAGCTGAGAATGAAGTAATTCTCAGCTGTTCTAATAAAATATGTTTGTTTAGGACTGATTGTGTCTGGTAATAACTACTTGGGCCTAGGTCACAACACAGCCCTTCTCAGATGAGTAAGCTGAAGAGATGGGAGAACATCCATCCGTCCACTTGCTAGGAATCCAAACCAGCCAGAAAGAGCTTCGTTGCGTGGCTGAATGTCCCACCTCCACTTCTTGAGCTTTCACAGACAACCGAGGATGCCAACTTACCAGCTCCTTCTTCACTTCTTGCTTCTCCTTCAGCTTCAGGTTGGCTGAAACCTGAGTGGAGAAAAAGAAAGGATCTCATTCTTTGCTTTGCTTCTAGGCCAGGGGTCAGCAACCTGCGGCTCTGGAGCCGCCTGTGGCTCTTTCACCCCTCTGCTGCGGCTCCCTGTCGCCGCCACAATTTTGAGAGGAGCTTCCGGTTATGGGGAGGAAAAGCATGGCGGACCAGGAAGAGACTCTATGGCAAAGGACGGGTTTTCTGGTCAGCTCTACAATTGATAGAGCTTTCAGTTAGGACAGGTAGAGGAAAAGGGATGCTGTGCTAGGAGGAGACTCTATGATGGGGGAACCTGGCTTCCTGTTAGGACCTTTGTGGCTCTTTGAGGGTTTAAGGTTGCCGACCCCTGTTCTAGACTTATTGGGGCAACTGGTTTGGAAAGTCCTGGGTTCAGCATCCTTTTTTTCCGGAGGTGAGGTGCCCCCTAACGATATCCCATTTCTCCCATCAGTTGAAGGTCTCTATTTATTTATTTATTTTATTTTATTTTTTAAATTTGATTTATATGCCGCCCTTCTCCGGAGACTCAGTGTGGCTTACAATGCGTTATGCAATAGCCTTCATCCTTTTGTATATTTTATACAAAGTCAGCTTATTGCCCCCACAAACTGGGTCCTCAATTTACCTACCTTAGAAAGGATGGAAGGCTGAGTCAACCTTGAGCCTGGCGAGATTCGAACTTACTAATTGCAGACAACTGGAGTTAAATTACAATGCATTAGTCTGCTGAGCTATCCAGGCTCCTATAAATATTAAATATTTAATAAATACTTTGGCCACCTAATGAGAAGGAAGAAAGGACTCACTGGAGAAGAACCTAATGCTGGGAACGATTGAGGGCAAAAGAAGAAGGGGACGGCAGAGAATAAGGTGGCTGGATGGAGTCACTGAAGAAGTCGGCGTGAGCTTAAATGGACTCCAGAGGATGGTAGAGGACAGGAAGCCTGGAGAAATGTTGTCCATGGGGTCGGACACAACTTCACAACTAACAACAACAACGATTTAATTTTATTTTTTTTAAATTTGATTTATATGCCGCCCTTCTCCGAAGACTCAGGGCAGCTTACAATGTGCTCAGCAATAGCCTTCATCCTTTTGTATATTTATACAAAGTCAGCTTATTGCCCCCACAAACTGGGTCCTCAATTTACCTACCTTGGAAAGGATGGAAGGCTGAGTCAACCTTGAGCCTGGTGAGATTCGAACCCTGCAGTAATTGCAGGCAGCTGGTCTTAATAACCAGCTTAATAACAGGGTGCCTTAAACCCCTGTACTACCAAGGATCCAGGATTGCAAGCTTTCCTCCACTCACCATCATGGCTTCCCTCACGGTGAGATGAGGCATCAGCATGTCGTCCTGCATAATGTAGCACGACATCTTACGGAAAGTCCGCAGCCCCCTTGGATGTCCGTTCACAAGGATTTGGCCTTTCATGCCCGTTTCCCTGAAAGTAAGAAATACAGAAAGTGGCAGGTTGAAGAGCTGATGCTCCTTAGACCTGATGGCATGCAACCTTGGCATCATTAAGGCTTGTGGGCTCCCAACTCCCAGAATTCCCCAGCCAGCCAATCCTGGAAGTCGACATCCATAAGTCTTAACGTTGCCAAGGTTGGATAACTCTGCCTTAGAAACTTGACTGCCTTGGATTTAAAGCTGAATTTCCTAACAGTGGCAATTTCCAGCTATATGGACTTCAACTCCCAGATTTTCACAACCGGCACAGCCGTTTCTGAGAATTCTGGGATTGAACACTGATTTTTTTTCTTAGGAGAGCCTAAATTTTTTGCTCACTTCTTCATTGGCTAGAATTTATTTTTAGGTTGGGGGGGGCAGCAGAGAGAGGATGCTGAGCAGGGAGATAAGGGGTCTCCGCCTCCTCCACTAACTTCTGGAAGGTTTAAACTCAGAATTGGAGTCGGGAAGGTCTCCAGTTTATTTCACTGTTATTCTGGGCAATGAGGCACCCAACGTAAAGGTAAAGGTTCCCTCGCACATATGTGCTAGTCGTTCCCGACTCTAGGGGGCGGTGCTCATCTCCGTTTCAAAGCTGAAGAGCCAGTGCTGTCCAAAGACGTCTCCGTGGTCATGTGGCCGGCATGACTCAATGCCAAAGGCGCACGGAATGCTGTTCCCTTCCCACCAAAGGTGGTCCCTATTTTTCTACTTGCATTTTTTTTACATGCTTTCGAACTGTTAGGTTGGCAGAAGCTGGGACAAGTCACGGGAGCTCACCCCGTTACGCGGTACTTGGGATTCGAACCGCTGAACTGCCGACCTTTAGATCAACAAGCTCAGCATCTTAGCCACTGAGCCACCGCGTCCCTTGAGGCACCCAAGGATTGTCCTAAATCAACCCGAAGATGTTGAAGAAGGTTATCTGGGCATTTGTCAGGATACAGGACCAAATCTTCCCATGAAAAATCAAGCTGTTTCCACACAAAGGAAGCGTTTTTCTCACCGGTATCCGGCCAAAAGGTTCATCAAGGTGGATTTCCCAGCTCCAGAAGGTCCCATAATACCAATCAGTTCCCGACGGCAAAATTTCCCAGAGAGGCATTTTAGCAAGGTCTTGTATCCTGGAAAAGAGAATAGGGAGATAAAGGTACTCGAGTGGTCTCGGTGAGCAAAGGCGATGGGCTTTTTCATTCATTGATCATATCTTTCAGCCAGCTAGTGGGACCAAGAAGAAGGGCCTTCTTCTCCCTGTCGAATATCATTCCTGCAGAAGTAAAATTGAAAATAAAATGTTATAGATCTCTTCTCTTAAGGAAGTCCATCGGATGGGCCTTCTCCAGGGGTGAAATCCAGCAGGTTCTGACAGGTTCTGGAGAACCGGTAGCAGAAATTTTGAGTAGTTTGGAGAACCGGCAAATGCCACCTCTGCCTGGTCCCAAGTGAGGTGGGAATGGGGATTTTGCAGTATCCTTCCCGGTAGTAAAAAAAATTGGATTTCACCACTGGCCTTCTCTGTGGTGGCTCCATCCCTGTGGAACATCATCCCTATGGGAATAAGATCATCCCTATGGGCCTTGGTAGTACAGTGGTCTAAAGCACCCTGTTATTAAGACCAGCAATTACTGCAGGTTCGAATCTCGCCAGGCTCAAGGTTGACTCAGCCTTCCATCCTTTCTAAGGAGGTAAATTGAGGACCCAGTTTGTGGAGGCAATAAGCTGACTTTGTATAAATATACAAAAAGGATGAAGGCTATTGCTTAGCGCATTGTAAGCCGCCCTGAGTCTCCAGAGAAGGGCGGCATATAAATCAAATTAAAAAAAAAAAGATTGGAACTAAGATGTTATAAATCTTAGAGCAGGACAAGAAGCAATGGGTGGAATCTAATCAAGGAGAGAAGCAACCTAGAACTAAGGAGAAATTTCCTGACAGTGAGAACAATTAACCAGTGGAACAACTCGCCTCCACGAATTGTAAATGCTCCAACACTGGAAGTTCTTAAGAAGATGTTGGACATCCATTTGTCTGAAGTATTGTACGGTTTCCTGCCTAAGCAGGGGGTTGGACTAGAAGACCTCTAAGGTCCCTTCCAACTCTTGTTATTCTATTCTAAATCTCCTCCCCACCTGGTGGAACGAAGAAGGGCCTTCTCCGTGGTGGCTCCATCCCTGTGGAACATCATCCCTATGGGAATAAGATTGGAACTAAGATGTTATAAATCTTATAGGGGCTTGGCTTGGTGGGCGTGGCATGGCTTGGTGGGCATGGCTTGGTGGGCGTGGCAGGGGAAGGTTACTGCAAAATCCCCATTCCCTCCCGATCAACTGGGACTCGGGAGGCAGAGAATAGATGGGGGTGTGGCCAGTCAGAATTTTTACTACCGGTTTTCCGAACTACTCAAAATTTCCGCTACCGGTTCTCCAGAACTGGTCAGAACCTGCTGAAATCCACCTCTGCCCTAAAGTCATGATTTTGCTAATGGACCTGGAGACCCCAGAGTGATATGGAAACAATCAAGTGGTGGCTTTGATTATTGTCACCGGAGAGTCAGGGGTTTATTTGTCCTGGGGTTTTACTTCTCTGGGAGAGACCTGGCCCATAAAATCGCCGAGAGTTATCCATGACTGAATGGATAAACTTTATCATCATTTGTTTCTGTAAGCTACTTAGAATCACCGCGAGTGATTTGTGGGGTGGAGGGTGGGGGCGCATATAAGGCAGACGTGATCCAGAACGTTTACTGAAGACCACAGGATTCGCCTACCGCGCACAATTGAGTGCTTAGTCGATCGATATGGCTATTTTCCACGCCAAAAGGAGCATTTGCGGAAACTTAACTGCATGAAATCAGAAATGGAAAAATCCATATTTTTCGTGCTGCTCGGGCTTGGTTAATGGGTTTTGCTGCACCAGAAGTGCCGGAAAGGAAAAGGGACGCTTTAGGTCCTCGTGTTTTCTCTGTCCTTCAATCGGGTGCCCTCTTCATCCGTGATCCGTTCTCAAGTTTGTCACGAGCCACCAAAGGGGTCTCCTCCTCCCACGTGAAGAACGGTGGCGAGCTAATGGAAGGCTGGCTCCCGTGGGCTCAGGAGAGCAACTGCCAGTCACTCTGGATTGTCACTCAAGGATTCAAGCCCCTGCATCTCCAGAAATCAACCCTGTCCTAAATAAATGATCAAATTAGCCATCTGAAGCAATTCTAGGGTACCACCACTAGAGGGAACCAAAGCATCAACATTACATTCCCTTTGTTGGTTCAGGACCATCCAGAGGGAAAGGATGAAGTTCTACCATCTTTTATTGCAATCACAGACCGGAATTGTGATGGTTTGGCTGGGGAATTCTGGACATGGCTGGCTGAGGAATTCTGGGAGTTGAAGTCCACCCCATCTTAAAGTTGCTGAGGTTGAGAAACACCGCTCTAAATGCAGGAGCTGGAACATCTCAGGTTCAACTTGATGTCTATGACGTGAGTGCCAAAAGCCCCAAAAGCAAAATTATTGGATTGTTTAATTTATATAACTATCCTCCAGCAAGCAAAATACTGGCTTACAAATGTATCAGGCTCTGTTCCTGAGGCTCCGATTCTGTCTAATGCTGCTCTAACTCCTGAAGTCTTCAAGTTTTATACATATAAATATGTATTTTATCTATTTTATAAGAAATAGGTTTCTTATAAAGATCCATAAAGTTTCTTGTCCCCATTTTGCCTTTTCTATTCAGGGCAATCGATGCAATCGAGATTTATTAATTGCCCTTTAATTACTTCATTGCCCTTCCAGAAATAGGGGAGGAGAGAGGGAGAGGGAGAGAGAGATGAAATTTTGAGAGAGAAAGAGAGAGAGAGAGAGAGAGAGAGAGACAGACAGACAGACAGACAGAGAGAGACAGAGACAGACAGAGAGAGACAGAGAAAGAGAGAAAGAGACAGAGAAAGACAGAGAGAGAATGAGAGAAAGAGAGAAAGAGGGAGAAAGAGAATGAGAGAGAGAATGAGAGAAAGAGAGAAAGAGAGAAAGAAGGAGAGAGACACAGAGACAAAGAGAATGAGAGAGAGAATGAGAGAAAGAGAGAGAGAGAGAAAGAGAGAGAGAGAAAGAGAAAGAGAAAGAGAGAAAGTGAGAAAGGCAGAAAGAGGGAGAGAAAGAGAGAGAGAGAGATGGTAAATCAAAAGCTATTTTCTGCTTCTCTCCTTTTCCGGTTCCAAAATTCACCAAAGAGAGAAAAACAGCAGCGTAAGAGGAAAAAGAGCTTCCTTTCAGGGGCTTCAGGAGGATAAAATGCTGAGCTGGACTATTCACGTTATATTTAAGAAAGAAGGCATAAATTAAGAATGCAGTTCCAGTAAGGAACTTTTAAATTTTGTATGCTGGTTGGGTTTTTTATTTTATTTTATTTTTTTTTATTTTATGCTTTTAATATTTTATCGGACACCGCCCAGAGTCTCTGGATGAGGGACGGTTCTTAAATGGGAACCGTAAAATAAATATTTCGCTCGGAAAAAATTAACTCCTGGTCACTTCTGCATTCTGCTTCTGAGGCCATTTGCTCAGAAAACAGCCCCTTCCCACCTCTGGCGGGCTGGAGAACATTCTAGACTGGAGCAGAGGTGCTGAGAACGGGTGGTGGAGGGAGGGACGGGTGGTGGTGGTGTTGAATCCACTGAAGATTAAGCCTCGTCCATGCTAAACATGCAGCATGCATGCAGTATGCAGCAAATGCCTCCTCGGGGGTTCTAAGGACGGCAGCCGCAGTGGGTTTTTTGCAAAGCACTAAGCCTGTTCTGCAGTCAGCGTGGAGGATGCTTGGAGACCCCACCTCCCTACCACCACACACGCACACACACACACACCTTGTGCACACTCCCTTCCTGGGCCGTCACGCCCCCCCTCCTCCCCCGCAACGCTGCCACTCAGCTGAGGGAGGCGGGCAGCTATTCGGGTTCATTGACTGGCAGTAACCTTGTCTCGCTGGCTGGCTCACGCCTGCCAGCTGCAAATCTTGCTCAGCAGAGAGCCCAGCCTTTTCTGCAGCATTGGATTTCGTTTTTTATTTTTTGAGCCGGGGCCAAAGAGCGGCTCAAAGGCCCTCGGTTCTCAGCTTCTGACGTGAAGAAGAAGAAGAAATGGGTTCCCGCAAAACGAGAGCTGCGAGGCCAGATTTCCCAAGCGCTGGGACGTTTCAAACCAGGTTCCCACGGGACTCGGACAGGCCCCTAAGTCATGGGTCTCTCTTTCTCTCTCTCTCCCCTGACCTCCCTGGGTTAGCGCACCAGATGTTGGCGCACTGCTGCGCATGTCAGCAGAGAAGAGGCCAGTAGGATCTGCCAAGCGATACTCAGGAATTCTCAGCCGAGGAACGGAGAGAAAGGAAAATGCGCTTCACACGTATGCACCACGCACACTTGCGTTCACATGTGTCCCTTTGCCACATGTGTCCCTTTGCCACATGTGTCCCCTCTTGCCTGCTCTCCGGCCCCAGAACAGCCTTGTCCAACCTGACATTATGCATCTAAACCAGCGGTCCGTGAGAAAATTTTGGTGGTCTGCAGAAAAACTATTTGCATTTTTTATATTGCACTAAATCAGGGGTCCTCAAACTACGGGCCCTGGGACGGATACATGCAATGAACGTTTGTGTTGCTGCAGAGAGTCTCCCCCTTTGGGGTCTTCTTGTGCGGGTTGGAGGGGGGCAGAAATTCTGACTTGGGGTCTCCTTCAGCCTCCTGGTGGGGGGCTTTGGGCGAAGGCTGGAGGGAAGAGCCACAGGTGGCGAAGAGCCGGAGGGCCTCGTTCCAGTGGGAGTGCAACATGGCCTGGAACTGGCTGACCATCTCAGCCCGCTGAGCCTCCAGGTGCTGGTACCTGGTCTTGCACTCCCGCAGGTCTTCCCTCTGCTTGGAAAGCCTATGCTCCTAGTCCTCAGTGAGATGCTTCTGCTGAGCCTCCTTCTCAGTCAGATCCAATTTGAACTGAGCAGCTGTTTTGCCAACTCTTTCTCTTAGCTCCAACAACTGCTTCCTGTTGGGGCTCTAAGGAGTCTGGGCGGGGAGGCAAGGAGTGGCTGGGAGGGAGGGGCGAGTAGAGGCTGGCGAGGCGCCTCTCGACGTGACATTGAGGTGGC